CTTTTGTCTGTAGTTTTCATTTGTTTTTTTATTTTTTTTTATCTTTTTAACATGAATCTTTTAACATTCCTTGTGTTGGTATAGTGTGTGTGCGTGTGTGTGTGTGTGTGTGTGTGTAAATATATATGTATATAGTGTATTTAAGCAGGATTTATTTATGCTTCATTAAAGACGTCCTTAACTTTACCTACGAACTTAGTCAAAAAAAAAGAACTCCCATCCTTAGACATTCCCGAAGAATACAGTAACAACACTTTTACCATCTCATTCTATATAACAACACTTTCACCACCTCGTTCTATATAACAGTACTTTTACCACCTCATTCTATATAACAACACTTTTATCACCTCATTCTTTATAACAACACTTTTACTACCTCATTCTATATAAAAAACACTTTTACCACCTCATTCTATATAACAAAAAAACAAACACTAGCAGAAACTTTAAAAGTGAATACCCACTCAGATACAAAATAGCAATGATAAAAAAAACTTCCTAAAAAGAGCCCACCAGAATTCACCTTCTAGTCTACTTTTCCTTAAAGAAAACAACAATGCAAAACAGACACTAGTTAACAATGGCTTCCTTAACAATCTTATCGATCACCAAATTAGATTATTTCATTCAAAGTAAATAATAATGATAGTGAACACACAGTCAAAATAACGTAAATATTTTCTACAAAAGCCAAATGCATGTCTACAAATAAGATGAATCTTCACTTAGAAATAACGTAAAAGAAACATACTACCCACAACTTAACCGAACAAAAATATCAAATTAATTAATTACCTACTACAAAAAATTTTAAACAGCTATTCTTATCCACAAAAATAACAATACACCAGCAAAATCATAATTCTTCATTTAAGCATGTTTCATTAAAAACGACAGACAAGGTACTACGATTAAGCTTTTTATTTAATTTTTCTTTTGTTCGAAAAAGTGTTTTCTTTTCTGGACATGAAGTGTGTAGAAACTGTCCAAATGTTCTAGAATTCTGAGCACTTTCGGCTATACATTTAGCCATTATCATTTTATTTATTTATTTTATTTTTTCAATTTATTTGGGTGTGTAGTTTGTGTATATGTTTTTAGTGTTATAGATATGTTTTATTTTCTGAACATATCACATTGTGGCCGTGTTCGTAGTTGATATTATTAAGTGTTGATCAAGAGAGTGAGAGAGAGAGTGGGGTAGAGAGAAACAGACAGAGACAGAAAAATACATTAAGGAAGAAAGAAAACAGGAATTATAAGGAAATAAACGAAAGAAAGAAAGAAAGAAAGAAAGAAAGAAAGAAAGAAAGAAAGAAAGAAAGAAAATCACGGGAAGTGCGAGAAAAAATAGAAAAAGGGAGAAGAAATGTCATTAAAAAAGGAAAAACAAAACTGAAATAAGTGAGGGATTAAAAAAGAAATAACATAAAAAGAAAAAAAAGGAACGAAGAAATGAAGAAATAAGGAAAGAAATTATAGGAAGTGAAAAGAAAGAAATGCATGATGGAAGAAAAAAATGTTTTTATAGAAAGAAAGAAAGGATAAAAATTGAAAAAGAAAAGAATTCAAAAGAAATAAAGATGGAAAAATGAAAATGGACAAGAAGAAACGGATTCAAATGAAGGAAGTATGAAGTCAGAGAAAAACATATGTAAGGAATTTCTTCTCATAAATCATCGAATATATAAAGAAGCTTTTATGTTTTGCCAAAGGGGTTTTGACGTAAGAAGAACCGGAAAATACAAACACATCCGATTCCAACTTCATGTCGAGATACGAATTTGTTTGTAGCCATATTAATGTAACCACAAAATACGACACCAAATTTCAAAATAAAATAGAATGAAAAGGAAAAGAAGAAAAATTTTAAAAACTAGTTTCGAAATGAAAACTAAAAAAAAGGAAAAGAGGAAAAATTTTAAAAACTACAGTTGTGAAATCAAAGCTAAAAAAAAAATGTAAAAAAAAGGAAAAGAGGAAACATTTTTAAAAAATACAGTTGTGAAATGTAAACTAAAAAAAAATGTAAAAAAAAAGGAAAAGAAAAAAAATTTTAAAACTACATTTGCGAAACAAAAAACTAAAAAAAAAAAAAAAAGTTTATCCGGGATTTATAATCTCTAAGAAAAGGTAATATTTTTCCACCATGTTTTTAAACTTAAAATGAATATATTTTCAAGGAATTCAGCGTTTTTGCTTATTTTCTTAAAAAAAATCAACAAAAAAACAAACAAACAAAAACAACCTTTTTCTGTTGTTCTCAATTTATCTTTAGCGATTGATTTTCTCGGCTTGTTGCCAAGTTAAACTGGGAAGCATCAAAAAATAAATTGCTGAAAAAAGTTTTAAAAATACGCTGTGTGTATGTGCGTGTATTTCGAATAAATACACCTTTTGTTACTTTGTAAGTTTAGCTTTGCCAAGCACAAAGACTCTAGTGTCGAAGGGATGAGAGAATTCCCAGCTACCGTAATTGGCCCTCGAGCCAAGTTTGCAAATCTATACGTCAAAACGACACACAGACAAAGGTTCTACTACAATGAGTAAGAAAGCTTATTTTCGTCTGGCGCATTCACTCTTTCAATCTGATATAAAAATTACTATATTTAGCGGCATATAGGTCGTAACTTTTTGAGCCATCCGAAAAATAACTAAGTATTGTCCGACTCTTTGTGCGAAGTTTGTTGCATTTAGACTAATTATATCACCGAATAATCACCCACGATCATCATAACCCTGGGAGTCGCAAGGCCACCGCACGTGCTGCAGGCGTAATAGCCATGGTGTGTCTTGGGCAAGGTAGCCCAAAATCTCTCCAGGCTGGTTTGTATTAAGTCTTCCTTCAACTAGACTGGTTGCAAGATAAGGCTATTTGCACATATTTGGGGTGTTGGAGAATAAACGGATTCATACTTTTCCTAAGGGTATTTGCACATAAGAGAATGTAAAGAACTCAACTAGAGTTCGAACGCAGCTCATTTCAAACTGATATACCTTACACCATCGCACATCCACAAATGTAGCGTACCCCAGACAGCCACTTCTATCTACCCAGATTAAGAATATAATAATATTATTTCCTCTAACGTTATTAGAATTATTCATATCTATCTATAAGATAGATATGAATATACTGAGATAGATAGATAGATAGATAGATAGATAGATAGAGAGAGAGAAGAGAGAGAGAGAGAGAGAGATCATGAATACACTGAGATAGGAGAAAAAGATGAACAGACTGTGAAAGACAGATCGATCAATAGATAGAAAAGATATGGATAGACTGAGATAGACAGATATGGAGTAGACTAAGATAGATGAATAATAGATAGATGAATAGATAGATAGATATATAGATAGATAGATAGATAGATAGATAGATAGATAGATAGATAGATATAAATATGTGATAGATAGATAGATAGATAGATAGATAGATAGATATGAAGAGACTGAGATAGATATTGATATCCTCACGTGATACATTTTTGAGATTTCCATTTCATGTTACTAGTATTTTTGTAGATTTTCCGGTGCAAATATTGGCCCACTTTATCAGGCAGAGTTTTATATTCAGTGGGTACATCACTGTGCATTATTATTATTATTATTATATTATTATTATTATTATTATTATTATTATTTTACCAGAATTTATCAGAAAAGAATTATCGTAACTGGATCCCGGCGATGTTCGTCCGTATCAGCCTAGCGAAATATATGTCAGCACTCTCATATCGTTAATGATAAAATACTACATAATATTAAAGCTGCAAAGAAATATGTCCTTCATACAAAGCACATGAAGAAGACTGACTGATGAAGAACTGGATATGTTTACATGTGGTGATTCCGTTAAAGAAGTCTACAATCTTACTTTTTATATACAGTAAGGTTTTCTACAATAGCTAAAGTGCATTTGCAATATTTTGTAATGTACTGATAACATTCTACAAACATTATGGGCTTAAACGCATTAAATCTCTTTTTCTTGGGTAGGTCGTATTTTATGCCGTCACGTTGCCGTAATATTTTCCAAGTTCAGAAGATAGATAGATAAATGATAGAGAGATATGAATAGACTGAGATAAATAGATATAAATAGTTTGAGACTGAGATAAGATGAGTAGACTAAGATAGATATGAGTGGATAGATAGATAATGATTAGACTGAGATTGATATTTGAAGATATGGGTAAACTGAAAAGATAGATCTATAGATAGATAAATGATGAAAAAAAGATGAATAGACTGATATATATATATATATATATATATATATATATATATATATATATATATATATATATATATGATATAGAATAGATGAATAGATAGATGAATATGAATAAACTGAGATATATATATATATATAATATATAGATAGATAGATAGATAGATAGATAGATAGATGAATGGAATGATAGGAGAGAATGGAGAGAATAGGGTAGATAGATATGAACAGAGTTAGTCACAAAGATAAATGAACAAAGCAAAGTACATAGATATGAACAGAAAAGATAGATAGATAGATAGATAGATAGATAGATATATAGATAGATAGATAGATAGATAGATAGATAAGAACAGACAATACTAGATCGGTTAGATATATCAAAGTAGATGAAGATATCTTCTATATAGATAAGAAATAGACATTTGATGGGATAGATAAAAGCTCTAGAGATAAGGAGTGATAATACGTTGTGATCTTTTGTATTTGGCTCCTGAACACAAATCAATAAAAGAAAAATAAATGGCCAAACATCAGGCATGAAAAGTCGAGACAAGTGTGAAATGCCAAACAATATGTCTATTCAAAGTCATGTTGTCTTTGACCTTTTTTGTCTTCTAAACAAAAAAATCCACCGAAATGCGCTCCTTGAAATAACCGTATGTTTTGCGTCTTAACAATCAAACAGTTATTAAGTTCACATAAAAAATAGTGGATAGGTGCTGGGGATGGTGTAAGGCATGCACAAATGATTGGATCGATGTATTTAACTTTACAAAAAGAAAAGAAAAGAAAAACAAAAACCTTACAAGCATTCGCCTTTTCTCAACCTGCTTGCTTATCTGCACGTGGAAATAGTTATCGTTTGTTACTGAGTTGATTTGTTTGTCTTTTGTGGGTTATTTTAAGGGGTATACGTCGAGAGTACTATTATCTGTTTTATCTAATCAATGTTTAAGTCTGTCTATCTGTCTTCATCTCACTCACTTTCTCACTCTCTCTCTCTCTTCCTCATTTGATCTATCTATTATCAGACAGTTCACATGTATTTCAATATGTTTCATCTAAGTCAATTTCATTATCTATCTATCTATCTATCCATATCCATCTATCTATCTATCTCATTCTGTTTATATATATATATATATATATATATATATATATATATATATATATATATATTCCTATATGTCTACTCTTATTCTCTCCAAACTATTTTCAGTCAGTTCATATGTATTTTAAATTGTCTTATCTGTCTCCAGTGATTTTATATCATTCTATCTATCTATCTATCATCTATCTATCTATCTATCTATCATATCTATCATTTCTGTTGTATATATATGTCTATCACAAATCTCTTTTCTCTCTCTCTCTATATATATCTATATATCTATTCATCTATTTCTGTCAGTTATATTTATCTATCTATCTTATCAATCTATATATATATATATATCTATATATATATATATATATATATCATACATATATATATATAATATAATTCTTATATATATATATTTATGCAATGTATATATTTTGTAGGTTTTGTCACTAATATTATCAATATATATATATATATATATTTTCCAATTTCGTATTTAAAGAAGTCTGATCCTAGAAATTGTTCGTATCGTTATATATGTCTGATGTCATTTTTATCTATCTTTTATACATTTTCATGGTGGGATTCTATTTTCTATTGATTTGTTTATATTGTGTTTATTATATCCCCAATTTGAGTTTTTGTTTATAAATTTAGACCACATATAATATTGGCAGTATATATATATTTTAAGTAATTTTGCGACCCTTTATTGAATGCTTCTACTCTTCAAAAGATTTTTTTTGCATTCTAGTTTAAAATGAAATTCGGATTACCAACACACAAAAAAGAGAATGTCTCATATCGAGAATATTTCACATTGAACATGAAGAAAATTTATTATTTTTTAATAATATGTAGAAATTCACTTTTACCTTTGACGGTTTGATTTTATAAAGCAGCTGCACGTTAATAAATTAAACCTAAAAAAAGTTCAATATGCATTTTTTTAAATAAATCCACATTAATAACCAAAAACGTTTTTAAGCTGGTCATTAATTTTTTTTTAATATACATAAAATTTTCTCTTTTTGGAACCACTACAACATATTTCTTTTATATTTATATATATATATTTTTTTACATACGATTATTTGCATAGATTATCAGACTGTTCGTATGTATCCCAAACTTATCTTCGCATCAGTCTCAATATTTTTATATCTATGCAAACATTAGTAATATTTGTATGTATCTATCTATCTATCTATCTATCTATCTTTTCTTCTAACTAAGAATCTTATATTTATATCTATCTCAGTTTTTCAATTATCAATGTGCTGATATTGTCTATTTCTGTTACTTTATCTTAAATATTCATGTCAATGTCAGTTTATCAATTTATTTCATGAACAGTAAATCTCGGAAATATGTTGTGTGAAAATGATTATTCAACAAAACTGGTCATGCCTCCATGGATATAAATTTAATATAATTTTGGGAAATTCAAAATTAGAATTTTATCATTTATATATATATAAATTGTTTCTCCGCATTAATACACACAATTTTCACACACACAAACACACACACACACACACACAAACACACACAATATGTCACAATACTGAGCACCATTGAACACACGCACAAAGTGAAAAAATAAAAATACACATAAAATTTCGTCCTTCAGAATTTCAATCTGACTAAATTGGTTACAACGACTTGAAGATACGCATGCTCAAAGAATAGAGGTTGGGATGCATGAAAATTTATAAGTTTATTTTATCTGTTTAATATATCAGCTTTATATTTTGATTATTTTTTTTTTTTTCAATCACTTTTATTAGTAGATATGATGGCTCTATGATTCTTGCCCTTCTGCCAGGAATAATGAATTGTAAGAGCCCGGTGCAAATTTACCGTGAATGGCCTTGCGATCAAGGTTTTAATCAAGTTTAATTTGTCGTAATGAATTGATTTCTCCCAATCTAAATGAAATCAGCTTTCCAATAATAATCAAAATTTTTTGTCCAATTCCCTCATAATTGTTCGTACGTGAAAGTCACAATAGTCTCTGACAAATTTAGCCTGATGAGGCCTTAAAGAACAAAAACGCATGAAAAAAAAATGTAAATATTCTCAGGTGGAATATATCTGTAAAAAAATCTTTTGCGAGTATACTAAATGATGTAATCTAAGGTTTACAAATTTCAGATAACCTGATGAATATTTATAAGCTTTTTTTTATTTAAAATTTTTTCAAAGATGCTAAATGACGTTTTATCTTTTTTTTGGTTTAAATGCCTAACAATTTCAGGTCATGTTGAATATTTATTTTATAAAAATTTAAATTTAAATTTGGAATATTTATGAGAGTTCTTAATTTTTTAAATTTGAAATGTACTCAAATATTTTTAATGTAAAATAAAATCATCACATTTGCCGTGGTAATTCCATAAGATTGGGCGCAGGACGGTTAACTAAAAACTAAAACTAAGTCTAGTTTTTAACCGGTTTTCATTCATTTTATATATATATATATATATATATATATATATATATATATAGGTTTTTAATTGTGCTATATTTACTGGGATAAAGTGTTCAATATCAGGGATGAGCGTATGTCCTATAAATATAAAAAGTAAACATTAAAGTCAACACTCATAAGACAGGCTGTTTTCATGCTCCCAATGCGCCTACTACCTGACTACTTGCGTCTACTAATAAGACTACTACTACTACTTCGATTAATAATAATTATATATATATATATATATATATATATATATATATATATTATATATATATAGAAGTAGTGGTGGTCTTATATTTTATATCATAAAAACAATTTATACAAAAATTAAATAGCAATACAAATGTGATTAATATCACAAATCACTTTGCTAACAAGACTTAATGAGACATTAACTTACTATCAATTCACTTGAATATTTAGAATCATATCAATGCCCTAAAACATATTCAACTCTCAATAAATAATGCAATAATTTTTTAATGAAATTTTCAAACCATAAATTGAAAACAAACTTTTTCTTAAAAAAAATGTTTATTTACAGAACTTTTTTTTTCGGTTTATTTACTATCCACCAAACGGTGTATTTTATATTCGGTTTTTATATGTTCGATCCTGGGGAAATGGTTGTGGAATTCGGAAACTGCAAATAAAAGGCATTTTCCTAATAAGTTACCAACATTTTCTTTTTTATATCTACGTTAAGTCAAACTCTAAATCTTAAACTCTATCTATCTATCTATCTGACGTATCTAAAATATCTATATCTATATATATATAAATAAATATATATATATATATATATATATATACAACACACACACACAGATATATATATATTTACGGTTTTTTGTGTAAACAAATGACGAGGTTTGCAAAATTTTTTTACTGCGTAACAATTTTCGGGGAGTTGCTTTTTACAAATTTGTTTTCTCATGTAAAAATAATCAGCTTGAAGGTTTTTTTTTTTTTTTCAGTGTGTGTATGTGTGTGTGTGTGTGTGTGTGTGTAATAATCCCTGTTGTTGAAGTTTGTAAAAAACGTTACTCAATCTTCAAGCTATATTTGTTTTATATAAAAGGGCTAAAAGAACTTTTGTTAAATAAAATTGTGAGAGACAGACAAGAGTTACATTTGGGACATTATAAATGACTTCCAATATTTTTTAATGAATTTAAACTATGTATTTTTAAAAATTAATTTTCTGAAAAAATAAGACCGAAAATACCATCATTTAAACTTTGATGAAAATTTAATTTCCGAAATTATTTATTTTTTCACAAAGTTAAATAAATAATTGGTTAACAAATAAAAATAAAATGAATTTCACTTTTAAACATTGAATAAAAAAAAATATTTTCCATAACATAAATAAATTATTTTTATTTATATTATAGTTTCAAATTGGTGACTGACCTTCCAAGCCCGGCAAATCAATTCAAGATATTTTGTTTGAAATCTGTTTTCGTAAAGTAAAGTAAAAAAAAGAAGCGATATTAAGTTTTGTTTTTAAAATCTGCAATAATGAATGAATAATAAAAATTTAATTAATTACATACAAAACATAAGGAAATAAATTCAAGGGAATAGAAAATTTAAAAACACATATAGCGTTTCAAAATTATCAGTAAAAAAAAAAAAAACGAAATATTAAAAAAAAAAGTTTTTCAGATTTTGTTCTGAGAATTTTGAAAAAGGATAAAGCTCAAAATGGATTCTAAGATTAATTAATTATCGTATTTTAATTTTAAAACATCTTCACAAATACAAATCATACGATGATATCTTTTTTATAAAAAGGTGACTTGGATGATATTGAGTCTGTATATATATATATATATATTTTGTCGTTATTTATTCTATGTTGCAGTTCAGAGCATTTCTTGTGGAATTTAATAGCTTGAGAAAAAAATAAAAAAAAATATCTGATGATACGTTGCTCTTACATTTTCCGTTTGACGTGAAATAAGCAAACTCTGAAAATACAAATTGAATCTACAGACTGTCACGGATTAGTCAGACCTTCCAAAGTTTAAACAAATAATATTATGTTTTGGAAACTTTTGCAGTAAACATAATTTTGGTTATAAATATTTAAAAAATTATAAAATAAATTCCTCGTCTGTATATTTAACAAGAGTGTTTATAAATTGTACACCGTTCAAATATTAATATTAACAATGAACTATTTTAACTTACAGAATTGTACTTGGATTAAACATAAATATTATATATATATTTATATATATATATACTTATAATACATATATTATTGCCGTTAATTTTGACGGCATGTGTGTGTATATATAATCGTATATCATATATATATATACAGTGTATCACAAAAGTGAGTACACTCCTCAGATGTCTTCAAATATTTAAGTATATCTCTTCATGGGACAACACTGACAAAATGACACTTTGACACAATGAAAAGTAGTCTGTCTGCAGCATATATAACAGAGTTAATTTCTTTTTTCCCTCAAAATAACTCAAAATATAGCCATTAAAAAGCTAAATCCCTGGCAACAAAAGTGAGTACACCCCTTAGGAAACACCCCTAAAAATATTAACCCCTACAAACTATGTCAAATGTCTAAATTTTGTAAGGCTTTTCATTTTTATCCAAAATGTCATGTGACTCTTTGTAACTATGCCCATGTGCATGGAGGGACCAGAGCTTCAAATTTGTCACTGCATGCTCTTCCACTCCTCTCTGACGACGTCACTGAAAGTTCCAACATGTCACCCATATTTGAAGAACTCTCTGCATCTCCAAAAACGTATTGTTTGAGGATGGCCCCAAAGATGACCAAGGCTTCAAGAAGATTGCCAACACCCTGAAACTGTCCATCACAGTGGCTAAGATCATCAGCCTTTTAAAAGTAAAAGCAGGGTTGTCTTGGATGTGTGTTTGGGTAGGTTGTCCAAAGCTGAACACACGTGCTGAGCTGTCACCCAAATGTTTCTGGAAAGATCATCATGGAGTGCTGTTAGTATTTGCAGAGATTAATGTTGGATTCAGCCTGTTTCCCTCAATGAAATGTAACTCTCAAATTGGTGCATGCTCATGTCCACTCCAGGACATTCCCACCACCATGCAATGTCTGTAAGCAAGACACAAACAGTTTGCTTTGACTCCTCACCTGGTCGCCCATAGATTACATGCATAATGCCATGGTCTGACCAAACAAATTTAATTTGGTTCATTCAGATGGCTTTAAGACATGTGTTCCAGTTACCTATGGGCTTTGTTGATATGTCTTCAGCAAACTGTTTGCCTTTCAGTCAATCCTTCAGGTGGTGGGAATGTCATGGTCTGAGGCTGCCTGAGTGCTGCAGGTATTGAGAGTTACATTTCATTGATGGTCTGAACTCCAACATGTACTGTTTAATCTCTGCAGCAATGCTGACAGCCTCCCTCCTGAAACTGGGTTCAAAGAAAGTGTTCCATGTGACGCTCAGCACGTGCACTCAGCTTCCAAGACAACCACTGCTTTTCTGAAGACCCTGAGGGTTAAAATGGGATGATTTTACCACTGTGCTCCAGCTCAGTTTCAATCTTCTTTGGGCCATCCTCCATCTTTATGTGGAGGTGCAATAGAGTTTTAAATCCTCCGCCAGTTCTTTGCCATGTGTCGTCATTGAGGAGTGACCGAAAAAGAGTATTCCAGCTGCACTAAATTTGAATAGCTCTGTTACCCATGAACACATGGGCATATGCTAATGAGACAAATGACATTTTTGGATAA